CAGCAGCAACAGCAGGACCTCGACATTGGCACTTAGCTCCTGAACGTATTGCCATCATACACGCGAGGAGTAGAATATGCTGCGGTGATAAGTGGTGGAACACAGAGGGCGATGCGGCACATTCATTGTGCACTACTTCTATGCTCCCCACACTGGCTGGCGTGGTGATTAAAGGGAGGGTGATCGTAACAACCTCATGTGAGCAACACGGGCTGGTGAGGCCTTCTAACTATCATTTTCATTTACCAGGTGAGGCCACAAATGCTAGCTCAACGAAGTGGCTTATCGCATGTAGAAGTATACCAGCCACATACTCTCAACGCGTGATGTGGATTCTAAATGTGGAGGGAAAAACCGGATGACCCGGAGAAAAAATCTACGCGACCACGGGGAGAACATGAAAACTCCAATTATACAGCAGTGTCGGGATCGAACCTCCTGTATACCAGGCGAGGTAGTTAACATCTCGCCACCGTGGCCCCCCGGCGTTGGGTTGGGAAAAAAGGGGCTGGAGAGTACAACAAGTAAAGTTTAACATCCCGTGTACATCCACCAGTTGCGAGACGACACGCGTGGCTCCGAGGTTGTTAAAATGTCGTGCTCAGCGCAGCGCGGAGCGACCGCTGACGTCTCTCCTCCGACTCCCCGCGCATGTCCCTCCTGAGCGGAGATCATAAACGGGAGATACGAGGGGGCCCCAAGTGCCAACGCGTCTTGTGCTTGCGTGCCTTGGGGCGTGCGTCCTGAACTCCCCCGGCGCACGAAGAAAACCAGTGCAAGGTTTACACAAAAAAAAAGAATGCTAAAAAAAAACGATTCTCCTCTAAATCGCCTCCGAAGGTTGAAACCGGAGTGAGCTTTATGGCCGAGAGGCGAGCGCCTTGTGCCACACAGAAGCGGCGTTACCGAGAAGCACGCGTCATTAACGTCGTCTTCGTAAAAGCGCCGGGGGAGGAGGGCGTGGCGCAGCGGTTAGCGCAAAGCACCAAAGGTTCGTTTTCCCGAGTTCGACTCCCGTAACCGCCAAATGAGCGTGGGCGGCGAGCGATGTACGAACGAGTGTGGTGCTCTTCTTCGGTTCTTTCGGTAAAGTCACGTAGAATGAGACTTTACCGAAAGAACCAAAGAAGATGAATCCTTGCAGTCACGAAAGCTTTAAATCGAGAGTGTGGTGATGTATGGTCCAATAACGCACCACCTCCCCCCGCCCCCCAACGGCCATGAATTAAAGGCCTCCATCCGGCAGTGGATTGATAACAAAACGACAACCGTACTCTTTGGTTCTGTCGGTAAAGTCACGTAGGTAAAAAAAAAGAAAGTTAATCAAATCACGACGTTTCGGAAGAAATACAAGCCTCCGTTATCAGGTGGGATAGTAACAGCAAGAAGTAATTTGCTGTGGTGGACTACAGCAAATTAGTAGTGGACTACGGCAAATTACTTCTTGACAGAAGCGGTGGGAGGGGGGGGTGATTTAGGATTTAGAGAACTCGCCCATTGTTTCAGCTGCCGCGCCTTGATCTCTGGATGTAAGGGCGCTCGGTATGACGCACCACGGGTCCCGAACCGTGATGCTGAATGCGCTGCACGGGTGTTGATGACTTTGTCAAACACCCCTCCAGTCGATGACATTCAGCCACTGCCGGATGATGATGGGCTTCCCCACGCCGTTCTGGGTCGTCGGGGTTGATTGGAATATACTTCACCACGCTGGTCAGTGCCGGCTAGCGAAGGCGGGGAGCGCGGACGTGCGGGCATAGAAGTGCAGTGCAAGATTGGATTTCTCTGCACCACCAGGAGTCACCCATTGCGATTTTACTATGCAACGCGTCGGTGCGTTAACTCTGTTAGCATCTGTGTCTCATAACTCTTGTAAAACTAAAACATCCAATGTGAACGAAACTTCAGTGTGTGTAGTTCTCTTGCTACTAGAGATTTGCCTGCTTGGGAATCGGCCACATTGATCAGAGGCTTGCAGAATCCGTGGCGTGCGCGTGGTTTTTCTTCCTTGTCTCTTAAATAGCCGAGACGCGCATCCTATATTCCGCAGCTCCTGTTTTCGATTGGTCGGTAAACACGAGCAGTTCGGCACGTCGGTATAATTAACGCGGGAAGTCGGAGCCTTCAAAGCGCGTGACAATTAGTGAGCTTCCGTGCGATTAAGAAAGCTCCGTTATTGCTGCGCATCGGCATCGTCATCATCATCATCATCGCCCGCGCGTAATGAACAACGTGGGTTAGTGAGCACGGTCGCCCTTGTTTAACACACATCTGTGGGCGGTAACCAACAGCGCCTGGCCCAAGTTTACAATCACGCGAACTCCGATCACGGCTGACCATCGAACAGTCGACGGGTCAACGCCCATCGCGCGCTTTCAGACGCGCTTCTGCGGCCGTCTGGAACGCTCCTCCCTCCCGATATTAGGAAGCCACTGGGAGCCGTGCACTTATAAATCAGTTAGATTGAAAAGTCATTTAATGAAAACTGCTAGTTTTTTTGTGTTTGGTTTGTTGTCATTTCCCCCCGCACCTCCGATTATCACGGATTGGCCATGTCCCGATGCGAAATAAGTTCAACATACAGTAGATACAGACATACAAAAGCTACGTGAGCACGCATTGAAAGGCCCTGCGTGCGAAGTAGCCGCGTCTCGCGTGCGGTTGTTCGCAAATCGCCCCTTGCAGTCACTGCGCAAAGTTAAACAAAGCTGTATTTGGTGCTGCTGCTGCTTCTTCTTCAGTGACAGTGGCGCGCAAGTAATAGAAACTCAACGCGTTCGTCAATAGCCACCGTGGCCTTAAAAGGAGACGAATAATGGGCGACGTTTCGGGCAATGACCCTTATTCAAAGCACTTCATCTGAATAGAGACGCAGAACTCACGGCCTTCCAAGCTTGGCTGTTGCTTCTCGGCGATTGTGAGATGGAGTTTTGTACGAATGACGACGCGCTATATTCAACTAATCCAGGGGTCACCGACCCCTGAACCAATTGTTCGCTTATTATTTTAAATAAGGTTTCATGACGGATACAATTTCCTTTATTGCCAGAAAGGGTAAAACCTATTCTAATTTTTTCATACTTTGATTTTAGCAAAAAGCTATCCCATGATATAGCTGCTCACAACGAGCTATAAATTATCTGATAAGTCATTGCACTGTTCGCCTTGTGGCGTTGTTGTCTGATCTGACACTGGTAGTGAGACTCGGTGATGAAGAAAGCTGTCTCTGGTGTAGGCCAATCAGTTTCAAACACAATGCCCATATATTATCAGAGCATGTTTGTTTGCATGTTCACCACAAGCACGTGTGGTTAATGCACACTTGATTCATTGCAAAAGGTTTCTATTTGGTGTTTGAATATATTAACACTTCCTGTTTTATTGCCACAAAGGGTAAAACCTATTTTAATTTTGTCGTACTATTTCCTGTTTCTTTGTGCATTCTCTACGCAGGTGGAAAAAAAAACTTCAGCAGCGATGTCTGCGGCCTGGGCGGGAAGTGGAGCAAGGAGGCGGCCTCGGGGCTGATGGCCCACCACCACCACCACCAACCACCCACCAGCACCACCAGCACCACCAACCACCACTACTCACCAGCACCACCACCCACCCACACCACCAACCACAACCACCCACCAGCACCACCAACCACCACCAATTAGCACCACCCACCAACACCACTAACCACCAGCACCACCAACCACCAGCACCACTAACCACCACTACTCACCAGCACCACCATCCACCCACACCACCAACCACCACCACCAATCAGCACCACCCACCAGCACCAACAACAACCACCACCACCACACACCACCACCCACCACCACCCACCACCACCCACCACCACCAACCACCACCACCCACCAGCACCACCAACCACCAGAACCACCAACCACAACCACCCACCACCAACCACCAATACCAACCACCACCACCAACCACCACCACCCACCACCACACACCAACACCAACCACCACCACCAACCACCACCACCCACCAGCACCACCAACCACCAGCACCACCAACCACCACCACCCACCACCACCCACCAACACCAACCACCACCAACCACCACCACCCACCACCACCTACCAACCACCATCACCATCCACCACCACTACCACCAACCACCACCAACCACCAGCACCACCAACCACCAGCACCACCAACCACAACCCACCACCCACCAACACCAACCACCACCAACCAGCACCACCCACCAGCACCACCAAACCACCACCAACCACCACTACTCACCAGCAGCACCACCCACCCACACCAACAACCACCAGCACCACCACCATCCACCCACACCACCAACCACCACCAACCACTACCACCCGCCACCACCCGCCACCAACCACCACCACCCACCGGCACCACCACCACCACCACCCACCCACACCACCAGCACCAGCACCACCACCCACAGCAGCACCACCACCCACACCAGCACCACCACCCACACCAGCACCACCACCAACCACCCACACCAGCACCACCACCACCACCCACCCACACCACCACCAGCACCACCACCCACACCAGCACCACCACCACCCACCCACACCACCACCAGCACCACCACCCACACCAGCACCACCACCCACACCACCACCAGCACCACCCTCACCACCACCACCACTGTCACCACTGCCACGGTGACGGCCACGATCCGAGGTGGTGGCGAGCCGTCTCAAGGATCAGAGCAAACCGAGATAAAGATCCACCCACAGTAAAACTGGCCTCTCCACTCCGGTTGATGGTCTCAGGCCGGTCACGAACGACTGCGTAAGAAACCACACCACCGCCGTCACCCACTCATCATTATTATAATTACCACTGACACCACTACCACCGCAACCACCACCACAAACATCGCTACCACCACCGCTGCAACCAACATCACCACCACTACCATCACCGGAACCATCTCAACCACAACCACAACCATCAATACCGCCACCGCCACAGCCAACGTCACCAACGCCACCACCGCATCCATCACCACACCAACCAGCGCCACCGCAACCACCAGCGGCCACGACCATGGACCGGCGTGGGATGCCCCCAAACTCGTCCTACTCCGCCGCCTCCCGCGTCCCCCCCTCGCCGCTCAACATCACGGCGGGCGCCCCAACGTGCGCGGAGCCTTGGGACTTCCGAACGGTCGCCTACCCGGCGGTCTACGGCGCCGTGTTCCTGGTGGGGCTGGCGGGCAACGCGGCCGCCCTCTGGGTGTTCGCCTTCCGCACGCGCGCGCGGAGCGCCACCACCGTCTACATGGCCAACCTGGCCGCGTCCGACCTGCTCCTGGTGCTGGCGCTGCCGTTCCACGGCGCGTACCACGCGCTGGGCGGGAACTGGGTGTTCGGCGAGGCGGCGTGCCGAGTCGCGGGCGTCCTCTTCTTCGGCAGCATGTACGTGTCGGTCACGTCGCTCGCCCTCGTCGGCGTGGAGCGCTACCACGCCGTGCTGCACCCGACGCGGCGGCGCGGCTCCGCGCGGCGGCCGCGGAACGCGCGGGTCGTCTGCACGCTGCTCTGGCTCGTGCACGCATGCGGCGCGGCGCGCGTGCTCGCCATGGAGCACACGGCGCGCGTTCCCCCGAGGCCGTCGCTCCACCCCCCTCTGCGCCACGACTCCGCGTTGCAGCAGCAGCAGCAGCAGCAGCTGCAGGATCGGCGGGGCTGGCGCACCGCGTGCTTCGAGAGCCACTCGCGCGAGGTGGTGTACGCCAGCCTGCTCGGATACGCCGTCTCCTTTCTGGCTCCGCTCGCCGTGCTCCTCTATTGCTACGCGCGCATCGCGCTCCGCCTCCGCGGCGGAGGTCCGGGGCGGCCGAGCGAGCTCGCGACGCTCGGCGGCAGCGGCGGCACGAGCCCGGCGCGAACGCACACGCGCGAGCGCTCGCTGCGATCCGTGCGCCTCACCATGGCCGTGTTCGTGCTCTGCTACGTCCCCTTCCACGCCACCCACGTGCTGGAGCTGCTCGTGCGCTACGCGGGGGACCCGTCGCAGGATGGGCACTGCCGTCTGCTGACGGTGGCGACCGTCGCGCACCGCGTGGCTCTGGCGCTCAGCGTCACCAACGCCGCCCTGGACCCCGTGGTTTATTACTGCACCGCCAGCTCCTTCCGCAGGGAGCTCCGCCAGATGTTCACACGATGCTGCGCGCCGCGGCGCAGGGCTTAGTGCAGTCCACGAACCGTGTCCACATATAACAACCCTTTTCTACTGGCACATTCAAACCGCGCCAGCATGGTATCGATGGTTTTTCCGCTTGATATGTTTCCGTGCCAAGCCAGAATCATAGCGTGATACGCTGGACTCACGAGAGAACTGAGTCCGATTTGGGGTCAAGCAGGGCCAGGGCCGGAGTTAATCTTCTTGTTTTTTGCGCGTGATATCGTTGGCACGGCTCGTCTTTACGCAATGGAAAAACAACATGGCCCACTATGGAGACGCGCCTGGCTTGCTTGGCACAACCCCGGTGTGGCTAAATTTGACATCGTTCAAGAAGCAATACGGTTCGGGGAAGTACCAACAAAAAATGTAATACGATCACATATCCTCTACACCGCATATCGTGTTTGTCAAGGGCGACATTGAAGGCCTCTAGCGGAAATCGGCCAACAACTAAAACGTGCTGACGGTGCAGCAGACACGAATTGACGTTTCTTGAACCGAGCAGAGGGATTTGCGTGAACTTGAGAAGAGGCGAAGGTGGGAGGGGGCTCCAAAGCCAGCGACAGAGAGGACTCGGCAGGCATGGACTTTTACTTGTCCTGGAGCGAGCGAGGTTCTAGGAAGCTAGGCAGAGCGATGACAAAGGGAGTTCTAAAGTATGATAAAAAAAATGGAATGCTAATTGACTTTCCGAACAATGGCGGTTGAACATACTGCCGGATTACACAGAGACATCTGGCAGAGGTGTCACTGCGTCAATTTCACGCGATCAACGACTGTGGTAGTAGCGATAATAGAGGGACGAAGGGGCGGCTGGTTGACTGCAAGTGAATGATGCATCAATGGGTGTTGATAGGAACACTGCAAATACTTTGACTTAGCGTCCGCTCAAACCCTGCTACATACCTTGAGTGATGCTGAATAAGTATGTCAAACCCCTTCGTCAATCCATTGCTGGATTGAAGGCCTGTTGAGGCCATGCCGGTCATCGGCATTGGTTTGACCATACTTCACCATTGCTGGTCAAGTCCAGGTAGAAGGCGAAATGCATGGACGCTGGATCCTATCGCAGTACGCCAGTGAATGTTGCTATATCGCCCTCTGCCGACAACATAACCCGATAATAAAATCCAGACGTCACAATACAACACGTGTTCCTCTCTCTGTCTACAGGGGGCACTGATGCTCGCTGTTCCCGTGTCTGACCAGGGCGTTTGCCCGGTCACGTGAAAACGTTCAACACATTCCATTAACGACACTGCCCTAAACAGGGGGACAGGTACATGGCGGTGCGAGTACCCTCACTTCATCCCGCCACTCGAAACCTGCCGATGGAGTAATTGTGGACGCTGTGTATTGTGTCCGCATGTTGAAAACTGTATGCAGGCAAGACGACTCAATGAATGTTCCAAGATTTTACAGGATTGGTGGTTGCTGGCTGGGATTGTTTAAGTACTTTATATTTTTTCCCCGCGTGTCAGGAAACCAAACCGAGGAGACAATCCAAACTCATTCAAGAGGAGAACGCTCCCGAGTCCGCAACGGCAGCCTGTTCGGATTAGTGGTGGAAATGGGCCGGAACGCCTTGGAAATCCGTGGTGGATTATCACGGTTAGCTACATATGGTGCGAAAGAAGTTCAACATATACACATTTTGAACCCGACTGTCTTCCTGAAGGAATCAAGGATTCGTCTTTTCTTTTATTCGACTCAGAGATATATACCCAATACGAACAGAGAGAGACTCAGACATGCACAGAGACCCAAAGACACACGCACAAAGACCCACAGACACGCTCAGAGACCCACAGACACGCTCAGAGACGCACAGACACAATCAGAGACCCACAGACACACTCAGAGACCCACAGACACGCTGAGATCCACATACACGCTCAGAGACCCACAGACACGCTCAGAAACCCACAGACACGCTCAGAAACCCACAGACACGCTAAAAACTCACAGAAACGGTCAGAGACCCACAGGCATGCTCAGAGACCCACAGACATGCTCAGAGGACCACAGACACGCTCAGAGAACCACAGATACGCTCAGGGACCCACAGACACGCACAGAAAACCACAGACACACAGAGACCCACAGACACGATAAGAGACACGCACAGAGACCCACAGACAAGGTCAGAGACGCACAGACACGCTCAGAGACGCACAGACACGCTCAGAAACCCACAGACACGCTCAGAGACCCACAGACACACACAAAAACCCACAGACACGCTCAGAGACCCACAGACACGCTAAGAAGACCACAGCCACGCTCAGAGACGCAGAGACAGGCTCAGAGACCCACAGACACGCTGAGACCCACAGACACGCACAGAGACCAACAGACACGCTCAGAGACCTACAGACACGCTCAGAGACCTACAGACAGACACAGAGACCCACGGACACGCTCAGAGACCCACAGACACGCTCAGAGAACCACAGACACACTCAGAGACCCACAAACACGCTAAGAGACCCACAGACACGCACAGAGCCCCACAGGAACGCACAGAGCCCCACAGACACGCTCAATGACCCACATACACGAAAAGAGACCCACAGACACGCCCAGAGAATCCCAGACACACAGAGAGACCCACAGGCACGCACAGAGACCCACAGACACGCACAGAGGCCCACAGAGAGGCACAGATACACACAGACACACCCAGACCCACAGACACGCTCAGAGACCAACAGACACACAGAGACCCACAGACACGCTGGGACCCACAGACACACTTAGACACCCACAGACATGCTCAGAGTCACACAGACACGCTCAGAGACCCACATACACGAATATAGACCCACAGGCACGCACAGACACGCTGAGACCCACATACACACACAGAGACCCACAGACACACTGAGACCCACAGAAAAACAGAGACCCACAGACAAGGTCAGAGACCCACATACATTCTCAGAGACCCACAGACACGCTCAGAGACCCAAAGGCACGCTCAGAGGACCACAGCCACGCTCAGAGACGCAGAGGCAGGCTCAGAGACCCACAGACACGCACAGAGACGCATAGACATGCACAGAGACCCACAGACACGCTCAGAGACCTACAGACACGCTCAGAGACCTACAGACAGACACAGAGACCCACAGACACGCTCAGAGACCCACAGCCACACACAGAGACCCACAGTCACGATCAGAGACCCACAGACACACAGAGAACCACAGACACACAGAGATCCACATACACGCTCAGAGACCCACAGACACACATAGAGACCCACAGACACGCTCAGAGACCGAAAGACACGCTCATAGACCTAGAGACACGCACAGAGAAAAAACAGGTACGCCCAGACAACGACAGCCACGCTCAGAGACCCACAGACACACACATAGACCTACAGACACGCTCAGAGACCCACATACACACACAGAGACCCACATATACGCTCAGAGACCCACAGACACGCACAGAGACCCAAAGACACGCTCAAAGACCCACAGACACGCTCAGAGGCCCACAGACACACTGAGACCCACAGACACCCAGAGACCCACATACAAGCTCAGAGACCCACGGAGACACATAGAGACCCACAGACACACTCAGAGCCCCATAGACACACACAGAGACCCACAGACATGCTTAGACACCCACAGACACGCTCAAAGACCCACAGAAACGCTCAGAGACCCACATACACGAAAATAGACCCACAGGCACCCACAGACACGATGAGACCCACAGACACAAACAGAGACCCACAGACACACACAGAGACCCACAGACACAGAGACCCACAGACATGCTCAGAGACCCACAGCCACAAACAGAGACCCACAGTTACGATCAGAGAGCCACAGACACACATAGAGACCCACAAACACGCTCAGAGACCGAAAGACACGCTCATAGGCCCATAGACACGCACAGAGAAAAACAGGTACGGCCAGACGACAGCCACGCTCAGAGACCCACAGACACACACATAGACCTACAGACACGCTCAGAGACCCACAGACACACACAGAGACCCACATATACGCTCAGAGACCCACAGACACGCTCAGAGACCCACAAACACGGCCATAGACCCACAGACATACACAGAGACCCACATATACGCTCAGAGACCCACAGACACGCTCAGAGACCCACAAATACGCTCAGAGACCCACAGAGACCCACAGACATGCTGAGACCCACAGACACACAGAGACCTACAGACAAGATCAGAGACCCAGAGACACGCACGGAGACCCGCAGACAAGCTCAGAGACGCACAGACACGCTCAGAGACGCACAGACACGCTCAGAAACCCACAGACACGCTCAGAGACCCACAGACACACACAAAGACCCACAGACACGGTCAGAGACCCACAGACACGCTCAGAAGACCACAGCCACGCTCAGAGACGCAGAGACAGGCTCAGAGACCCACAGACACGCTGAGACCCACAGACACGCACAGAGACCCACAGACACGCTCAGAGACCTACAGACACGCTCAGAGACCTACAGACAGACACAGAGACCCACGGACACGCTCAGAGACCCACAGACACGCTCAGAGAACCACAGACACACTCAGAGACCCACAAACACGCTAAGAGACCCACAGACACGCACAGAGCCCCACAGACACGCTCAATGACCCACAGACACGAAAAGAGACCCACAGACACGCCCAGAGAATCCCAGACACACAGAGAGACCCACAGGCACGCACAGAGACCCACAGACACGCACAGAGGCCCACAGAGAGGCACAGATACACACAGACACACCCAGACACACAGACACGCTCAGAGACCAACAGACACACAGAGACCCACAGACACGCTGGGACCCACAGACACACTTAGACACCCACAGACATGCTCAGAGTCACACAGACACGCTCAGAGACCCACATACACGAATATAGACCCACAGGCACGCACAGACACGCTGAGACCCACATACACACACAGAGACCCACAGACACACTGAGACCCACAGAAAAACAGAGACCC